CGTTACCAGTCAGTAAAAAAGACAAAAAGGAAAAAAAAAAAAAAGGGGGATAGGAAGAAACAGAAAGTTATGGAATTTTACTGAAAGAACAAGCAATTGAAACAGGGAATAAATTTTAATTGAAAAGTCCTGGTTACACCAGAAGGAGGGTAGGTCCTAGTGAAGACTGTGAGCTGGGGGTGAGGGATTGAGCAGCTTGGAGAAACTGCAGTTACCTGGGCAGTGGCTGGGAGGTAAGACCCTCTGTCCTCTGCAGATACATGCGAACAATGTGTGTGACCCTTCCTCTGCCACAGTGTGTCTCGATGATCATCAGCATCACCTGGGCCCTTGTTAAAAATACCTATTCCATGGCTCAGAATGTGACCTGGAAACCTATGTTTTCCAACTATCAAGGGGACTCTTCTAATCAAGGAAATGTGGGACTCACCACCCCAGGGGGAAGTGACCCTTGCAGGGGTGGACAGAGGCTGTGTATATTGTGAAATATATATTTGGTCTTCTTCCCCATCTCCCAGCATAAACTCCTAAAACCCTTTGAATCTCCAAAGTGATAAGTGTGTTCTTATATGCTAATGAGTTGGCTGAAGGCTGGCAACCCCTAGGTAGCTTCAGGAAGGGGACTGGTTGCTAGGGGAGCCAACTTTGTGATTAGAGGGTTGAGACTTTAAGCCCACCCCTAACCTCAAGGGAGGAGAGAGGGGCTGAAGGTTAAGTTGGTCACCAGTGGCCAGTGACTTAGTCAATCATGCCTATGTAATGAAGTCTCCATAAAGACTCAAGAGGCCAGGATTTGGAGAGCTTCCTGAAAGCTGACATGTGGAGGTTCCTGGAGGGTGATGCACCTGGGGAGGGCATGGAAGCTCTGCACCCCTTCCTCATACCTCTCCCTATGCATCTCTTCAGCTGTGTCCTTTGTAATACCCTTTATAATAAACTGGTAAGTGTGAGTATGTGTTTCCCTGAGTTCTGTGAGCTGCTCTAGCAAATCAGTTGAACCAGAGGAGGGGTTTGTGGGAACCTTCAATTTATAGCTGGTTGGACAGAAGTTCCACAGGCCTGGACTTGAGATTGTCATCTGAAGTGGGGGCAGTCCTGGTGACTGAGCCCTACACTTGTGGGATCTGACACTATCTCCAGATAGATAGTGTCAGAATAGATTTGAATCAGAGGACACTGGTTGCTTCCTTGCTGGTGGGGAGAAATCTCCACACTTTTGGTCCCAATCAACTTCTGTGTTGATTGTGGCTGAGAAAGAGTACAGACAAAGCACTTTGGCTTGTTTATCCCTATATACTCTTAGGCTGACATTTGGATCACATATTATTGACCCTGCATCAGAGAGGACATGCAGAAAAGGGGTGACATATCTCCATCACACATATGTATACACACACGTATGTACATGTATTTAAAACTCCCAGGGAAAGCCTCCTCTCTAGGAGAGAAGATTGTTGATCATTTCACAGAAAAAAACAAGAAGAACCAGGCTTTCTATGGGCTCCACATCTTTATTTATAAACCCGTCTTCCAACCTCTCTGAACAACACAAATTCATCTTGAGTTATACAATCTGTTACCTTGGCAAGCTTGTAATGACAAATCCTATTTTACCTCTTTAAATGTTGCTCCTAATCACTCTACTTAAGGTTGAGAGCAAGAACCAAACTGATGCAGTAGGGGAGGGGTGGGAGTGTGCTTACAGATTTGATTTAATTTGATTTTTAAAGTAGTTTTGCTGTTGTAAGTCTTTTAAAATTATTATTATTATTTGGGTTTTTGTTTGTTTTTATTTTTCTGCTGTCCAGAAGTCCTCATGTCTGTTCCAGAAGGAAAAAATATAAAGTCATTCCTAAGGACAGAATCATACTCAGCTTGTCCTGTTGTATGACAAATTTGTCCTTCTAAAATCACCTCACCCATGTCTTTTTTTTTTTAACTCAATAACCAAAATAGCACAAGATAAATCAAAGAGCAAAAGTGGTAACATAGATGCCTCTGTAATCTTGTGTAGCTTTCACACAACTTTTAAGTATGTGAATATATATGTGTACATATATACACACACATATATTACATAAGTGCATATATAATATATGTATATACTGAGAGAATGCTAATAAAGCTCTAAAATAGCAGAGTTTCTCTAGTCCAGTTTTTGGACTACATAATAACACCCAACCCACTGCCAGGCTTCAAATGGCAGCAGAGGCAAATTTTTTACTAATTATACATTTTAGAGCAGCAATGCTGTGCTGGTCTTATGGTGTTTCCGGACATTCTTGATATATAAATAGTTAAATGTCTGATTTAAGTGAAGCTTATGGAATAAAAAGAAGAAGCAGCCGCCTCTGACCCTTATTCCCAGTCCTCAACTCTCTCAACATTTTAAAAATTAAATTAAAATTCTTACTTGCAAGAGGCAGTAGTTTGCTTTGTTTTGTTTTTAGGGGCAGCTTGATTTCTCCCACATTCCATGTCTGTGCCTCATTTCGTGGCACCCCACCCCGACCCCCAGGCCACAAGATGACCACAGGATGGCAGCTCCCAGGATCACTGAAGTTCTCAGCAGCTACACAACCTGAGAGTCTACAATTTAAAAAATAAACCCACATCCTGGAATTCTAATGCAAAGTATTATGTTGACCTACAGCAATTATTTATCAGAGACATAACATTCGTGGCATATATAATAACATGTATGCTAGCAAGTTTAGTCTCTAAGTTTCACAGCTTAATGTGAGCGAACAAACACTTGACACCTCGAAGCCTTAATATAATTCTGCACTAAAATTATAAAGACTATGAAACTGAGTGAAGGAACGTACATGACTGCTAAGAAGTTATTACTGTATAAAATGCAAATAAATAAATATTTTCCATGTGCTTAATTCCCACTGATGGAAATTTTAGACATAAAATAAAAACATCTCGGTGTCTCTTCTGGTGCTTCTCTTAGTAATAGTAACAGCAATTGTCACAAAGAATTCCACAACCCTGGAGCATCGTGACTGCAATATAAGCAGAAAAAGAAGCCCAGGAGCAGAAATACATTACAAACTGCATCATAACACATACTTGTCTTGCTGTTTAAAGTTAAACTCCTCCAAAAGTTTTCCAAATGACATACTTACCAATAAATGTCATTTTCATTTGTTAAAGTGACATTAAAGAAAACATTTTTGCATATTTTTATTCCCAGTTTTAGAAATGTTGTACATGAAATCTAAATTGACTCTCCTTTTTTTAAATTTGGTATCTCCAATTTGTCTTTTAAATATGGAAAATATCTTCTAAATAGTTCAAATTTAATTTTGCCAGTTTCTGGAGCTCGGTTGGTTTCAAAAGAGGAATGAAGTGCAAACTGCATCCACCAAGAGGATGCCACAAGTAAGTCCACTGCATCCAACCAGGTGGACCGATCAGATCCACCCTGAAGAAGCCAGTCCCAGAGCCGTCAAGTGGTTTGTGTGAAATTCACAAGTGAAAAGCATCATAAACAGAAAAGAAATCAGAGTCAAAGGAGAAGGGGGAACAGGTCTAAACCAAAGGGGTCACTTTTTTGACAAGGCAACACTCCATGTGACAGCTCCCATATAGGAAAACCTAAGCTGCTGCAGCATTCAAAGATTCTTCCCTTTTCTTCATGATGAAAGGTTTGAAAAAGTGGATCTTTGAGAGGAAATACTACAGACTTCCAAATTGGTGAAAGAACTTCCAGCGTCGCTTGGATACTCTGGGTAGGAGGAACTGGAGGAGATGATATTTTTGAGCCTCTGGAGGGCAATGATTAAAAGCAGAAGCAGAAACGCCAAAAGGCTGAGGAATATGGACACATAGATGTAGACATTTGACAGGTGGCCTGAGGACGGGTCCACTGATGTGGACAGTGATGTGGGAAACAGCTCAAGGAAAGTTCCATTCTCCACACTTCCTGAAAATCCAGATGAAGGGTCGGGTTCAGACATCTTTATGAAGGGTGAAGGAATGAACGAGTATATTAAAGTCAAAGTTTCACACAGGGGTTAAAAAGGACAGAATTGACATTTTTTTCATGATAGTGTCAGCAGAGATTGCACGTTGTTAAATCGGCACAACAAAACTTCTTGGATTTCAAACAAGGCAGTAAGGGATCAGTTGTCCATTGAGACTGCAAAAAAAAAAAAAAAGAAAGAAAGAAAGAAAAAAGCAACTCAGTGCATTTAAATCTCAGTTTTAGTTTTTATTTCAGTAAGACTTAGCTATAAAACCCACCAGGGAGAAAAAAAGAAAGAAAGAAAGAAAAAAGCAACTCAGTGCATTCTTCGGAAAATATTACATTTAAATCTCAGTTTTAGTTTTTATTTCAGTAAGACTTAGCTATAAAACCCACCAGGGAGGGAAAAAAGTGAAATAACTACCCCAGGAATAAGCAATGTTTATGTCTTTATATTACAACTGATGATATAAAAATGAACTTTTATTTTCTCTCACGGTGCCCTTATTGTCAGGTTTCTCTAAGGAACTAAAGATAAAATAAAAAGGAAAATACGTTTCTGATGTGCTCCATCTGCTGCGATTTCAACTGACACTCCAAGAGTGGGTGCTCTGAGGTTAGAATCTAAAAAGTTAGCTCCAAACCGACTTCCTCCAGAAAATTAATTCTGCACATTTTCCAGCCCAACAGCTTAATTCCTAACTGGTATTTCCCTCCTGCACACTTTGGAGACTCTCTGCCCATCTAAGTCTGCTTCTTGTTGAATGTTTTATAATAAGTTGGTTTGTTTTTAAAAATTTTATCTCCTTGAGATCAGAGGCCATTTTTACATCTCTTCTTTAAATGTTCAAGGGGTCTTCAAAACGTTAATGGAAGGATTCAGATTATCCGGTTTGTTTTTAAAAATTTTATCTCCTTGAGATCAGAGGCCATTTCTACATCTCTTCTTTAAATGTTCAAGGGGTCTTCAAAACGTTAATGGAAGGATTCAGATTATCTTTTAATTCAATTTTCCACGAACTTTTTAAAGTACCCTCATACCTAGGTACCTTATTTTACATACTTTAGGCATTGAATAAAAATAAAACTTTAACTTGGAAGAACAAAGAACAAAGATTCCCTCTAAATGGTAGCAAGTTCTAGGTTTGCTGTCAAGAGACTGAGGTTTGAGTCCTGAATTCCCCATTACCTTTGCGAAGCTGGGCAAATTACCTACATTTTCTGATCTTCCGTTTTCCTCTCTGTACAATGGTATGGCCCATGCCCCAACTCCTCATTGTGTTATGCACAGACCAAGACAATAGACATGAAAACACTCTGTGAATTGTAAAGGGTTGGAACAAAATGAGTTGTGCACGTGTGTGTTTTAAGGGGTGCGGAGGCCGAATGATTTCTTCTTGGCCAGATGCAAAGAAAAGCTCCTCACTGTGTTCAGGCTGTGAGGGAAGCAGCCTGAGAGAGAAGGACCCCTCCCAGGAGATAACTTTCTGCAAGTCCAGAAATGATGTTCTTCCTAGCGCTTCATGGCATGAGACAATTTTGTTGTGAATTTGTAAACCTTGCTTCCAGTGTGGTGCCATGCTAACGGAAGCCATCCCTTCTGCCCCCAGCTTTCCCTTCCAAAACTCTGCCCTGAATTTTACCTTGACAACTTGCCTTTTCCTTCTCTTCTCAAGATCTAATTAAGCAGCTAATTCTTTGCGTGGCTGACATTTGCTGCTGTGGCCAGAGCTGAGCGGCACTAATGATCCCTGGGAAGGAGGGGGCCCTTCAGAGAGGGCTGCCCCTAGCAGGTGTCACGCAGACTAATGAGTCTTAGTGAGTTCCTCTGAGTAGGCCAGGGACAACATCTTAGTAGTTCCTAAAATAATTTGACTCCTACTCCTCATTATGCTTTGCCTAGTGATTTTAATTCTATTAGAGTGCTGCAGGCTGCTAACAATGCTTTGAGACAAAAAAAAAAAGAATCACAGTGGGACTGCAAATGTGTTACACTGATTTGGCAATACCTAGCCTCTTACAGCACGTAAATGTTCCAAGCATTCATCTGTAGGGAATACAGCAAAGAGTCTCAGAGGCAGCACGGTGCATAGAAAAGAATACTAGGACAGAAATCTCCTAGCCTGAGTTGGAAAAAATATGCAAAATGTTCTGGTACAATCTCCTAGGTGTAGCTGAGAAAATGGAGAAACAGAGAAAGTAATTGATTTGACAAAAGTAACATATCTAATTAGAAGATAAGCCAGGAGTTTAGGCTGCTGCCCTCCCTTACCCTTACACCATCTGGTCTCAATTTTCCTGCCATTTTGGTAGTAAGCATTTTATACCACCTCTTTTCTAGCATGGGCAAAGAAGTAAGGACCATGCATCTTGTGCGTTCCTCACAACTACTTTGTAGGGCAGGTAGAGCATGAATTAGTCCTGGTTTTGCAGATGAGAAAACTGAGGTGCAAAGACGCTGGGATTTACTCAGAGTACATAGCTAGACAGTGACAGACAAGTGACTACAACCACACCAGAACTGTGTTCTTTGTTTCCTCAATTGGGGTAGGAAGAGAAAACTTACCAGCCTTGGGTAGTTGGTTCCCCTCTGCCACGTACTTTGGGCAAGCCTGCAGTTCAGTCTCGATAGTTCAGTTTTCTCTCTGCACAGCAATGCTACTTACCTTTCCTACCTCTACAGGAGGGCCTGAGTTAAGATGTGATAATGTTTCCATAACCTCTGCCACGTACTTTGGGCAAGCCTGCAGTTCAGTCTCGATAGTTCAGTTTTCTCTCTGCACAGCAAAGCTACTTACCTTTCCTACCTCTACAGGAGGGCCTGAGTTAAGATGTGATAATGTTTCCATAATCATACTTAGAAAATAATAAAAAGGCCATCTCAAGTAAAGTACCAGTAGACAGACAGGTCCTTCTGAATGCCTAGAAAGATCAGAGGAACTTCAAGGTCTCTGCTAGTCCTACAGTTCTGACATGTGCAGTCATAGATTCAACTGGAATTGGCTAATTTTTTTAATGCCGCCTTCTCTTCTATCCAAATCTTATCATTTTCTAGGGGTGAGTCTGGAGGCACAGACAATGTCACTGTGGTATCAGCAATTCAGTGGCAGGGCTCACAACCGGCTACCAGACCACTTGTTACAAGGGTGATACCTTGATACAAAGGGTATCTCTTTACAGGGTAAATATTCCAGGAGTACTTTTTCATTTCCTGAAGATTGTCTTCTTTCAGACCAAAAGCCCATGGTCAATCTTGACTATCTATGGAATAGTTTCCAGGAAATGGTGCTAGGAAGATTTAGGTAAAACATCTGATCTAAGAGGCCTTGGAAGAAGGATGGAAAATAAATAAATGAAACAATGTGTTCTTATTTGACTTTTCACAGCTAAATATCTTCTCCTTTAAATAGCCACCCCCTACCCCAAATATTACAGGTTTAATATCATTTCCAGAGTACTTCTTAATTTAAAATGACAGCTTACAAATTTCGCTTCACTATCTACTCTGAAACAATACAATACATGCACTGTTGAGATCATTTTAATTTGGCAACATTAATTCTCATTTCTTCAGTGAAGTTTAAAAACTCGGTATGTCTTCTTTCTCTCTGGTGAATGTTTTATTTGACACTAAACATACAATGCTCAAGATGGACCAAATTGTACGTGTTTAGGCATTGTGACAGTGAGAAATGAGGCTGGAGGAGGCACTGTGGAAATGAAATCAAATGAGTATGTTTCAAAATGATGCTTCTTGGGCTGCTTCTCTCAAGAAGATAAGGTTTAAAGAAAAGAAGAAAGAGACTTCATCTTAAATGCATAGCCTTGACCTGTCTCGGGTAGTGCCGGCAGACTCTCATTTCGGGTGACACCTAAAGCCACGTGGGGATTTTGATGCTTTTTTTCTGAGGCATCCTCGGAAAGTGGTTTTTGAGAAAGGAAATGAGACAGCTGGATCATGACATTATAAATGAAGATCTGTGGAAATGTTTTAGCTCATGGTCAGCCAGCTTTCCCTTTGTCTCTTGGAATAAAAACCTGTGCTGGGAAGAAATCTACAAAAAAAGCAGTCACCCACTGAAGCCAGGAAGGAGGGATGTGCAGTCTCTCACCATGAGCACAGTGGAGCAGGGGGATGGAGAGAGCATAGATAGTACAGACCTGGGGACTCTGGTTCCAAGTCATTCTGCACCACGAGCCTGTGATCCTTCTTAGGGAGCAGAAGCTTTTCTTCCTACAGGGTGATTATGAGGGTTGTAATGCTTGGGAAGAACAAAAGCATACTCTCTAGCATGTGCCTTTATCTCTGAGTCCTCTCATGTAAGCATTGCAGGACCCATGGTGGCCAGTATGTGGGCAGAGCCTACCTGTGGCCTTGACTTCTATAATACAATGGGTTATAATACTCAGCCCACCGGTCAGCCTCAAATGTGGCACAGCAATTTTGGATTTTGTGACTTTATTCAAATCCATCTGTATGTGAATAACAACTATTGGAAAGGATTTTTTTGGTTGTTGGGGAAAACTGGGGCAAACTGCATGTTCCCATGCAGACATTATTTAAAGTGGCCTGGCTGGTACGATGTCGCAACAGCATTTCATCATTATCAAGTCTTGCTGTGTCATACGCCAAAAGGTGGTCCTCCTAAGACCGTTAGGAATGGTGCAATCAGGTATTAACATGACATAATGAAATGCTTTTTCCAGGACACAAATGTAAACTTTGATATCATAATGCAGTGAATGCTTTTAGATGATGTATTGAATTTCTTTCTCTGTAGAACACATAGAAACTATTTCTAGGATCCAGAAGGGACCTTATCACATCTGAGCAAAGCTGTTTTTAGTTCTGTTTGGAAAAATAGCATGTTTTATATAAGACCTTGCAACCATTCCTTTACCCTTTGCATGATTATCTTCTCTTTTATTGCTTTCTCTTTGCCTAATGGCCTTTTAGGTCATGCTAGATGAGAGAAGATGGCGCAGACAGTACATTCTTCCCACTGCCCTTCTCTAAATGTAAATCTTTACTTGCAGTCAGTGGCCAACACTTACCCCTGGGCCTTCAATAATAAAAATAAAGTTTATTATCTTATGTGCTATCCTTACTCAAAGCTGATTCAGCCATCTGTATATATGCCTATTTGAGAACTGTTCTTACTTATCTGTACGAT